GATACCATCTTTTCTATGCATTGACAAGTCTCCAGGGCTGTCATTCCATCATGGTAATGGGCGTTTCGGTTCCGACACGTGCTGTACGCGGTAGACCAATCCAGAGCCAATCTCTCTACGGCTCTGGACCAATTACAAAGGACTGCGCCATCTGACCAATCACAGCAGTGAGGGCTCACGGAAAGGAGGGGTTTAGAGAGACGGATTCTTTGAACTGCTTCGCACGAGTCGTTTATGAATCATTTAGAAATGAGGTAAAATTAAATCTGTTTTTGGAGAAAAGTAATGTGTTTTTTGATCTTGCATGCATGTAAACCTGTTTTAGGAGACTCATAAAACAATATTAGTAACCTTAAAAATGGCATAATAGGGGCACTTTAATTTCTTAAAAAAAAGAAAGAAAGAAAGAAACCTACTGACTCCAAACTTTTGAAAAATAGTGTGTATATATGTACAAAATTGTTTTTGATTTAAATAGAAGACAATGTGGATTGTACATTAAATAATGGTAATGTCTATTTTTCAGCAACCTCAATTAAATGCAATTAAATTACAAATTAAGTGTATTTTATCTAATTAGATTATTATATCATTACTTTGCAGATGCAAACCAAAATATTTATTATAAACTATTACGTTTAGCATCAGTGCAAAAAAATTACTTTTTCATATTATAACACCTGAGCTGAAAACCAAAAACCATCTCAAATATGTACCATGGTATAAATAGTTTTGACTGTAAATAGTAAAATTGGCTCACACATTTTGACTATCACAGTGCTACTGTGCTTTGAAGTGAAGCTATCTTATTTGTGAACAAGAAAAAGTGAAGTAGGGGGAGTCCAGTGCCTTGTGGCACACCTTTGTTGAAGGCCAGAAGGTGAGAGGTAAACTTCATCTCCATTGTAGAAATGCGGGCAGTCGGCAGCACTTGATTGGCTTAGTGCCCATATTTCTGTTTAAGAAGGTGGATTATATTGAAAACAGAAGTGAAGTCAAAGAACAGGACACATAACTACATATTTAGTGTCTCCGGATGATATAATGTGCAGTGTGTCGACGATGCCAGGTTAATGGCAACCTCCATCAATATACAAGAGTGGGCGGCTTTTCAAATGCAAACTCAACTTTGAGATTTCAAAGACAATCCTGAGGGTAAATGTGGTTCTTCTGCCAGGGGTTGTTCAATAGGAGGCATTTATAATAGTATAAAATATTAACTTATTAAATAATTCAGATGAGGCTTTTGAATGCCAAATAAATGGGTTAACAGCCATTCAGATTTCACTTGGTTAATTTTCTTGTGTATTGGGATACACTTGTTTTGTATTTTGCCCATAGCATCTTTATGATATGATATATTTACTATGGCTGATGCTCAGAGACATTACGTATATTCATGTTTTTTAAGGATTTTCAGCTGTGGAACTTGCTTTAATGTGTTAGATACAGCATCTATTCTGTCCATGGTTGCTCAGAAGTTTTCCTTTGCTTTGTTTTTGAAGGTATGGGCTGTTTAAGAAGCAGCTCACACTCCTTGAGGAGGCCGAAGGAGGCTTTGATCAGTTCACACGCAGCTATAAGAGTTACGGAGTACAGCGGATGCCAGACAACAACCTCGTCTTTAAGGAGTGGGCCCCAGCCGCCGAGGCTCTGTTCCTCACTGGAGACTTCAGTATGTCTTTTCTCATTCTAAGGCTTTTCCCCTAAAGCCCTAGGCGCTTGCCGTCTTCCTATCAGATAGTACTGCAGCGATTTTTGTTAGATCTCGAATCCCATTAAAATTAGGCATTAAGCAAAAATACAATATTAAGTTAACTTCAGCCAAAACTTAAGTTTAGAATCTAAAGTTCAGCTAAATGTCTTGTTGCCCTTACCACATTTAAATATATTTAGTAAAAATAGAATGTAAAATACAGGTATAAGATGTGCATCAGTAATGATTATTTAAATGTCCTAAAATTAAGCTATACTGTAATACACTTGAAGTGCAACACAATTTTATTAAAAAAATAAGGTAAACTATTTGATTATTTTTTACGTTTTGTATATTTAGTAAAAATATAATGTAATATACAAGTTTAATACTCTATACATCAATAATGATTATTTAATGTCTTAATGTTAAGCTATAGTGTACTACACGTAAAATTCAACAATCTTATTTAAATAAAGTATTTGATTTAATGATTATTAATAATCATTTTAATTGCTTAAAATATTAAGCTATACTGTACTGCACTTAAAATGCATCAGCTTTGTGTAAATAATAAGGTAAACTATTTGCCTTATTTTCAGATGTTGTATATTCAGTAAAATTAAAATGTAATGTACAAGACATTGTACAGTACATCAATAACAACCACATTTAATTGGCTTAAAATATTAAGCTATGCTGTACTACGGCTTAAAATGCAACTGTTCTTTTATAAATAATAAGGTACTGTAAAATATTTGCCTTATTTTCAGATTTTGTATATTCAGTCAAATTAAAATGCACTGTACATCAATAATGATACTTTTAATGGTGTAAAATATTATATTACAGTATAAGCTATACTGTACTAAGCTTAAAATGCAACAGTTTTATGTCAATAAGGTAAAATATTTTATTTTAATTTCAGATTTTGTGTTGTGCAAATAATGGACCATTATATAAAGTGTTGTCAAAACCTTTTCCACTTTGTCACAATTCATAAATCAGCAAGTTGTTATTGTACTGATATATTGTTCCTTTGCAGAATTCATAAATCATACAAGAGTTAGTCTGCCTATTCATCTATTTCTTATGTCAATTTTTAGTTGACACTTTGTTTGTTCTCTTTGACCGATCTTTGTTTATTGTGTGTGTGTGTGTTCGTTCAGGTTAAGACAAAAAAAAAAAGAATCCCTTCAAGGCTATATGAATTGCCTACAAGAACGAATGCACTCACTCACTCACTCTACTCACCCACCCATCCACCCACCCACTCACTCACTCACTCACTCACCCACCCACTCACTCTGTGTGTGTTTTAAGACAAAAAAAAAAAGAATCCCTTCAAGGCTATATGAATTGCCTACAAGAACGAATGCACTCACTCACTCACTCACTCCACCCACCCATCCACCCACCCACTCACTCACTCACTCACTCACCCCCCTGTTACATTAAAGTTTTACATTTTTACATCATGCATTCACTGGGAACCAACCCTGTGACCTTGGTGTTGCTTGTGCCATGCTCTACTATTTGAGCTACAGAAATGCAGACGCAGAAAGTAGTTAAAACTTTCATGTGTCAGATTTACTTTTATGCAAACTAATAATTGTATTTTGGTTAGCAATATTGTTTCCAGTTTTTAGCCTTATATTAATTTCCGTTATTGATAATAAACTTGGTCTGTGATAGTTCATGATTTCAGTTTGTCTCTGTGTGTTTATGAGTATTTGTATGCTTCTCCATGAGTGTGTGTATGTTTTTATACTTGCTCTCAGGCCCTGTGGCTCATCTGTTTAATGAGGTCACTCTTTGAGAGGGAGAGAGATTCAAGTGTTCACTGTGAAACTAATTTAAAACCAATTCTTGCTTCACCCTGGAATTACAATGGGATCGAAGGGGTACTGGAGAACCTCCCCACAAGCTTGAGATATACTCTTGGTTTAATCATGAATCATATAGCTGCTCAGGAGAGAGAGGAACTGTTAGAGGACAGGAAAGAGGCAGAACATGTACAGCCAGAGGTATGAAGGCATTGTTCACCTGGCAGATTTAGATTTCACTGTGACCGATAGTAACGTCTTCAACAGACACGACCGCTGTCGCGGCGCGACCACAACAGCTTGAAGTTGTCTAATTTGGCACGGTCTCCCTGCTACACTAATAGTAGTAAGTCTTTACTCTGTGTATGCATTTCTTTACATGTACAATTTTAGCTGTATTAATTGTGTCCCCTTCAAAAATTGCTCTTGAGAAATTTTATGTTTATTGTCCCCCCAACTGTTAGATACGCAGGGGTCAAAGCATGGAAAACCAGATTCTTCTTGCTCTTTTTATTTATTACAAGCATATGTAGACATAGTCTAACTTTTTAAAACTCACACCCGGCCCAGCCAACCGAGACCATTTATTGAAACTTTAAGCTGACATTGTTTTATTCAGAAATATTCAAGACTAAATAAATAAATACCTAAAAAAAACAAACAAAACAAAAAAAACGTATAAATTGCAATAAACATTTGTATTTATAGTTTGTAAATACAAACTGTTTTTCTTTTCTTTTCTTCTCTTTGTTGGTTTGTATTTAAAGATGAACTTGTAAATTCAATAACATTTTTGTTCATTTTTCTAAAAAAAATTATTTTTCCACAATAATTTGGGTAAGATGATTGAAATGTTGAATATGAATGCAGCCAACACAGCAATTTAGGTAAAACCAATAAAATAAAATTATTATTAATCGTTAAAGAGTATTATCTTATTTTTCCATTATATAGTATAAAGAGTCCGAAAGATGTTATTTCTCTGCCATCACTATTTAAAATAATTTTAATTAATTCATTCATTCATTAGTTCGTTCGTCCGTCCGTCCGTCCGTCCACCCATTCACTCACTCACTCACTCACTCACTCACTCACTCACTCACTCACTCACTCACTCACTCACTCACTCACTCACTCACTCACTCACTCACTCACTCACTCACTCACTCACTCACTCACTCACTCACTCACTCACTCACTCACTCACTCACCCACCCACTCACTCACTCATTCACCCACCCACCCACTCACTCACTCACTCACTCACTCACTCACTCACCCACCCACCTACTCACTCACTCAAAAGTCTGACTGAATGCAGGATTTGAAGGCATTTGCTTGTCTTTTCTAGTCATTAGGAAGTGCAAGTTTTTTTCTTAAAGAAGTAATGAGCCAGACTTTACAGACTCCAGGGCAAATTCTGTAGTCGTTGATCACATGGCAGAACTTGCATTGCTTTTGAATAAACAAATGGTTGTTAGTAATTTTATCAGAGTGAATGCAAATTAGGCAACAGATAGATAAGCATCACTATTACACTTTCTCAGGATTTGAACAAACTCCTAACACTAATTATTAAAATTCGGCATACAGTGTGCAAAAGACATGAATTATAACTGAAACCATGCAGATTGTTGAAGAGTGTTACATTTTCCTGTTGAATTTGCAGTAAAAAACTGGCAGCTGTGGTCAAAAATTCTCCAACATACTGGTACCTGTATATTTTACTTAGACAATGATATAATGTTAATATATCAAACTTGAATTACCAAACTGGCATACAATGTTGAAATCCAGTAACTAATAATGCAGGTTGTAAAATAGAAACACAAAGACAAAACACATCCAGGATAACACCCATGATACTACAGTAATCCACAAATAAATGTAACGCAAAAGCACCCAATGTACACTACAGAAAACAAAAATACTAAATATAATGAGATATAACAAAATAAATACTGTTATCTGTCCTTTTACTCTTTCATCATAAATTATATGGTAATTTATGTTTTTTATTCACAGAAATGAATTTTACTGTGGAAATAATTATAATGCTCTGTTAAACCATTTACAGGTTTTCACCTTATATGCTAAGGTATCTTATACACTTAAGTTTTTAGGTTTATTTATTTGTTATGTTTATTTGCTGTCTGTTACGATGTTCTTTTTTATTCCTCTGGTGCAACTTGTGTGGTGAAATGAAATGTACTATATTTTAGTTGGATTTTATGGCACTACATTATATTTATGCAGAAGTTAATATCCATTTATTGCCCGTGAACCACTTTTTGAGCATAGACCTGAAAATGAAATTTCCAACTTCTAGTAACTTTATTTTCACCTCAATAATCTGCCAAGTGTCTTTTTAAAAAAAAGAGACCACATGTCTGTTTGTTATGAAAATGCACGAACATACTATTTTCAAATCAATTTAATCAAAAACAATTGAATGAAAAACCATTTGAAGTTGTGTTCCAAATTTGAAGTTGATATTTAAAAAAAATAGCTTTCAGTAAGATTTTGTTTGGGCGCCATTTGAATCATATCCATGTTTGTGTGTGTGTGTGTGTGTTGTGTTCACATAGCAGTTCAGTTCACCTTTCAATTAAGTATAAAAAAATTGGGTCATGACTGAAGATTCATTTAATTTAATTAGCTTAATTAGCATGCCAAGCTTTCTTTATTAGATATGTCTACACAATAAAACCTCTCAACCCTTTCTTAATCGCCACCACTTTGGAAATGCTGTCAAATGATGCGATTCACTGAGGTCAGAATGTATAGAATATGCTAGAATTAAATGTTATGGTTATGAGCAACTAACCATTCAGCTAGTCCATTTTTAAAGCATGTAGTTTTGCACATCCCCATTTCCCTGTCCCTAGCAACCACTCAGAACACCCTAGCAACATTGCAACAACACACTAAAAAGCACTCATAGCATCTTACCAAACACATCGCACCGTCCTTGCAAGTTTTGCGCAGACAAGAACCACTCACTTTTTCTTCAGAAAATGTGTCAATAATATTAAGCAGTTCCTTTCTTTTAATAGATGGCTGGGATAACTTTTCACATCCCTACACTAAAAAGGAGTTTGGGAAATGGGAGCTGCACATACCCCCAAAAGAGGACAAGACACCTGCTGTCGCTCATAACTCCAAGCTGAAGGTGAGCAGATGCATTAGCTGGTTTGTTTACTACTTTAGCCTAAATGAGGCACTGAGGTATTATGAAGCCTTTATGCGCTGTCAAGATGGCTTTAATATTCAGCCGTTTATGGATGGCGTGTCAGTGTTAAAGATACAGCAACAGCTGTGACTTTCAAGCCGTTTGGTGCATGTTTTTAATAACGCAGCTCCAATTTGGAGTTTCACACCCATGAGGTTTAAAACAGAGCTTTCAGTTTAAACAAATTGAAGCGCGGTCCTGCGGGATCAGTTGGACTCTTCACTCAGTTCGAGATTGTACATTCAATTAAAGTCAACAAGCCGAATAGACTTTATTTACTTTAACACACATTCTTGATATTATTGTGAACGATTCATCCGTGCATGCTAAAAGTAATCTTGCATCAAAATGCAATAACTTGCTCTGCTAATTTCCATCACCTATAGGCCACACTGGCACAGGGTCAATTACATAGAAAACTGTCCAAAATAAAGAAAGCAGATACAACTTTTAATTATAATAATGTATTAGTAAATGTTAAAATTACACACTAAAAAATACTGGGTTAAATACAACCCAGTGCTGGGTAAAATAGGGACAAACCCAGCAATTGGGTTGTTTTGACCCAGCGGTTGGGTTACTACCCAGAAGGATGGGTTAAACATTTAACCAAACCTCTGGGTCAAAACAGCCCAATTGCTGGGTTTGTCCCTATTTTACCAAGCACTGGGTTGTATTTAACCCTTGGACTCTTCACTCAGTTCGAGATTGTACATTCAATTAAAGTCAACAAGCCGAATAGACTTTATTTACTTTAACACACATTCTTGATATTATTGTGAACGATTCATCCGTGCATGCTAAAAGTAATCTTGCATCAAAATGCAATAACTTGCTCTGCTAATTTCCATCACCTATAGGCCACACTGGCACAGGGTCAATTACATAGAAAACTGTCCAAAATAAAGAAAGCAGATACAACTTTTAATTATAATAATGTATTAGTAAATGTTAAAATTACACACTAAAAAATACTGGGTTAAATACAACCCAGTGCTGGGTAAAATAGGGACAAACCCAGCAATTGGGTTGTTTTGACCCAGCGGTTGGGTTACTACCCAGAAGGATGGGTTAAACATTTAACCAAACCTCTGGGTCAAAACAGCCCAATTGCTGGGTTTGTCCCTATTTTACCCAGCACTGGGTTGTATTTAACCCAGCATTTTTTAGAGTGTACTGTAATATTAAGTTTAATTACTACTTTAGATTTATTTTTCATTGTTAGCTCGTGATAAAGGGATAGTTCGTCAAAGAATGAATGTTGTCGTTCCAAATTGTAAGACTGGGGTTAATGATGAAACACAGAAATGTGTAATGAGTTACTGTCCCTCCATCGAAATCTGTTCATCATTTTGCATGCATTAAACCAATTAATGTTGATTCATTTTGTGATGCCTTTATAGCCATTTTGGAAAGTCTTTCGAAGACATTTTTAACAGGGTTAAGTCTGTTAAATTAGCGAAATTAAACTGTAATTTAATTAGCAATTTTGTAATTGCATTTTTAGCTTAACTATGCGTTTAACTAATGTAGCTAATTCATTTTGCCAAATGGAACCCTTAAGAACCTTAATCTTAAAGGGAAAGTTCACCAAAAAATGAAAATTGCCATTATACTCTCCCTCCACTTCCAAACCTGTGTGAACTAGTATGCAAATAAGATATTTTGAAGAATGTGGGTAACCAAACAATTGACGGTAGCCGTTTGGTTACCAAAGAATCTTTAAAAAATCTGGTTTAAAATGTACTCTTTATTTTGTTTTGAAATGATTTTGAAAAACTTTTATACCGTTTTTAAGAATAGTTTACATTTAATGACTGTAAAAATGTCATGGTGTAACCATCAAGAAAAATAAACATATTTTCCTTACACCTTTGAATATACTTGAGTGTACATCATAATATTTTTCAAAAAATATTTTAAATATGATTTTCAAGGTTACTTTGATTTATTTTATTTATCAAATTTTTCTTTTTTTGGAAATATCATGAATTATTAATTCAAATATATCATTAAGTTGCACCACGTGACATTTTACAGCCTAAACTAGTTTTTCCTTATAAAAATGTCAAATTATCTGACTAATTCTTTTCAAGAATTTCATTTGTTTAATTGACCTATCAGTAAGCCCCTCCCATCGAACGCAGATGAGCCAATGGCAGCTGAGTATCAGTTGCACGTGGACCGGAACTCAGACATCTTTAGGTTTCAGAGCCATAGAGAAACATTGGAAGGTCCGAAGCTCTCATCGGTTTGATGGTGTTTATGCTTTACAAAAATGGCAAAACGATCACGATCTGTCACTGTAAGAGAGTTCATAACTCCGTTTTTTTTTCTTATGATATAAAAGCAGTTATCTTCACCTTGACAGTTTTTACTTTATCTCTGCAAATGAATTTTAAATTTGAATGTCTGATTTAAAAAAATATATATATTAAATTAATTGACCAACAAATAGCATCATATCATTGACCCAGTTGCTGGCCGTGAGGCTGAGATTAATTTCTAATCTATCTGCTTACAAAGCCGTTACTGTATCTCTGTGTTTAGTGTCCAGTCTCTTCCACTCTTGCTGTCCGTTATGTGGTGTGACACGCTGGCAGAGTCTTGATTGATGGCAGGTAGATGCCACTCACTGGGCACAGGCTGCTTTTCTGGTGGCTTTGTTCCTGCTGTCTTCCTGGGTCAGGCTCTGGACGATAAGAACCAGATGCAGACTCTGGCTGACTGGACTCGAATGAGTTGAGTGTCAACTGGATAATGTTCTCGGCGAAAAGTGGTCCGGCCAGACTTTAATTATGCAAGAAGTGGACTGTCCTATTCTTTCTGCTTCATGCCGCAGACTCATATCATTATGGAGAGACTTTGTTTTGTTACAAAGGGTGTTTTATGTGTTTGTTAACTAAATTCAAGACATTTGTGGTAATATAAGACAGAGAAAATACCCATAATATATAATTTTACATGTTAGCAAATCTAACAATAGCCAGTCATTAAATGGGGGTGAAAAATGCAATTAAAAACATACAAATAAAATAAAATAAAATAGACTTTTGCACCAGGTGACTGGTTGGAAATACAACATAATACATATTTTATATTCGTAAGAATGCAAAGAATTGTAAGAGACGTTATAAAAAATCAAAAACATACAAACTCCCCACATAACAAAAAAACAAACAAAAAATCACAACTTTCACTGCATATTTAGAATGCAATGTAGTGACACAAATGCGGAATATTTCTTGCATAAAACCACAAATATGAAAATATTTGTGCAAAACTCTGGATGTTTATTAATGTTGATTTTTGAGGGGGGGGGGGAGTTAACCTGCCATTAGTTTTGAAAATGTAATCAGAGAAGATAATTTCCATCATTTTCCATGTTTAGTGGAAAGTTTTACCATCTTTTTTCTCTTTTTCTTTCTTTGTGTATATATATATATATATATATATATATATAGGACTCGAATGAAGGTGTAGAACCATCTCAAGGCTGATCAGAAGAAATGGACAGCCCCTGAGTTAAATATATGAGTGTCACAGCAAAGGGTCTGAATACTTAGGACCATGTGATATTTCAGTTTTTCTTTTTTAATAAATCTGCAAAAATGTCAACAATTCTGTGTTTTTCTGTCAATATGGGGTGCTGTGTGTACATTAATGAGGAAAAAAACTTAACTTGAATGATTTTAGCAAATGGCTGCAATATAACAAAGAGTGAAAATTTTAAGGGGGTCTGAATACTTTCCGTACCCACTGTATATTACAGTGTTGGGGAACGTTACTTTTAAAAGTAATGCATTACATTATTGCGTTACTCCATAAAAAAGTAACTAATTACGTTACTTAGTTAGTTTTTATGGAAAGTAATGCGTTACGTTACTTTTGCGTTACTTTTTAAATCTGGACAGGGCTTGCTTGTTTGTTTTTAAAATAAAAAAGCTATATTTTTCAAATATAAAATATAAAAACCTTTTTACACCAAAAGTGAAATGAATAAGCCTCAGGCTGAAGGAAATGTAAATTTACGTCCGTACAGTAGAATGAAGAATGAAGAATTTCAACACACTTCAGCAATAAAAAAAAACACACACAAATGTTTGTCTAGAGTAGTTTTTGCTTATTAGTACAGTTGAACTGGATCATCGAAGGTCAGCAGCAAAGACATTGGTTAATAGAATGGGATTAAATACATAAAGCATATTTGTGTTGTCTAACATTTAATTATTGCAGGTTTGCGTCATATTCTGAGTATATTCTCAGCATTTTTTTAATTCATTTTGAGGAATACTGAATCAGTTTTTTTATTTTGTGAGTGAGATGAATTAATGCATATTTATATTTATTTTAGAACTACAGTA